ACCATTTTATTCATCAAATTAATTTTTATTTTTGTTCAGATAGGTTTAAGTATGCTTGTCTCACATCAAATTTCCCAGAATCCCAGAATGTGAGGTTCTACAACAAACTAAAAAATTGTGAAGACTGAAGCTCCTGTCCTAATCTCGTTTGCAGAGAGGAAGACAATGCAGTCAGGAAATGTAAGTTTACAAAGAGAAAGCACTTTGAAAATCACCAAGACCAGTTTCACTGCAGTGATGGAATTTGTTTCCTTGGGCTTCTGATAGTTCCACTTTGCACTGGTGGGTCTTGGGAACATTCTTGGTCATCTTTTTGATTATCCTACTGGAGAATGGAGTTATCATCCTAATAACAAGAGTAGAGACCACTCTGCGAACGGTATATATTTTTATCACAGTTTTTTGGTTATTTAAGTTTATTGGTGCATTTTGGGTGCACACCATGATCACATTCATCATAGGGAATCTGTCCCTGTGCGTGATACATCTTGCTTCTTGTTTTGCGCTAGCCCCCTCCCTCATTCAACCTTTCTCCTCATTTACAAAAGTTTTATTTCCAGTTTATCCTTTTTTCTCTCAGTTTTTTCTTCCTTCCTTTCCCCGTCCCACCTCCCTTGTGCTCCTGCCCATTTGAGCAGCATCTTCTTATTTCACAATATTTATCATATGTTTTGGTCTTTATTTACACTTTCAGTTTCTCACACCAGTAAAACAATGTGATATCTACACGTGTGTCCAATTTCTTTCACCTAAGAGTATGGACTCGCTGCGCATCCATTTACCTAGAAATGTCTCTCTTATTCTTCATTATGGCTGAGTAGGACTCCATTGTATAAAAACCCACATCTTTCTTATCCATTCATTGAGAGATGCAGATTGAAACAGTGCTGCAATTCCATCTCATCCCAGAAAGAGTGGCCATCATCAAGAGATCAACCAATAACAAATGCTGGAGGGTCTGTATGGAAAAAGGAACGCTTCACTGCTGGTGGGAGTGTAGACTGGTGCAATCACTGTGGGTCACTGTGGAGATTCTTCAAAAAAAAAAAATTAGAGATTCCATTTGACCCAGCTATTCTCCTTCTGGTGTCTTCATGAAACAATTAAAAACATCATACCATAGTGATATATGACATGCATGTTTGTAGAAGCAGCACAGTTTGGAATAGCTAAATCTTGGAAACACCCAAATGCCCATCAACTAGTGAATGGATAAAGAGGTAATTTTTCTTTCTTCAAAATCTGCTATGATTGTCACTCTTCCTAGAATGCTTGTGGATCTTTGCACCTAGAAAAGAACTATTTCTTTTCTCAGCTGTGCCACACAAATGGGCTTCTTCCTCGTGCTGGGAGCTGCTGAGTGTTTCCTTCTGGCGGGGATGGCCTATGACTGCTATGTGGCCATTTGTAGTTCTCTGCAGTATCCGCTGATCATGAACCACAAGGTCTGTATTCAGCTGGTCACTGGCTCCCGGATCGTTGGCTTTCTAGTCCAGGTGGGGCAGACAGTGCAGATTTTCACTCTGCCCTTCTGTGGGTCTAAACATACCAAGCACTCTGTGACATCCTCCCAATGCTCCAGTTGGCCCGTGGGAACACCTTCTTCGTGAATGAGGTGGTGGTGTGTACATTAGCTGTTTTGTTTGTCACTGTGCCCTTTATGTTGAGCCTTGCATCCTACAGTAGAATAATCTCAACTATCCTGAGGTTGCCATCAAACACAGGAAGGGCTAGAGCCTTTTCCCTTTGCCCATCCCATCTCAGAGCTGTGTTTTTATTCTATAGATCTACCAGTATCACCTATTTTCATTCCAAATCCTACCAGTGTGAAGGCATAGAAAACTGCTTTCTCTCTTCTTACTGTATTGACCCCAGTGTTCGATCCCATGGTATACAGCCTTTGGAACAAAGATGTTACTGGGACACTGAGAAAATTCCATCCCAAACTGTTAACATTCTGGGACAGTGAATGTAGCAGAAGGTATTGTTTTCTGTGTGATTTCTATACATAAATAGATAGAATCTAATGCTATCCTGTCCCATACAATACAACAATTTTATTCCTGGTTATTTATACATAACAGAAATTAAATAAATGGCTTATAAATGAATGTTGAGAGGAGTTTTATTAGTAATAGCCAAAACAGTGGGAACAACTCTGATTTATGAACAGGGGAACTGTTGCACAAATTGTGATTATCCATACATCAGAATATTCCCATAATGACAAGAAATACATCTCAGAAACATACAGTAGCAGGCAGGAATCTCAAACAAGTTATGGTGAATAAAAGCAGAAAGAATCGCATATGGTATGAAAGGATACATATGTATAATTGCATCCTAAATTCTACAAAATTCCAACTTTTCCACAGTGACAAAATGCACACCAATTGTTACTTTAGGTGGTATCCAAAGGGAAAATAAAGTTACTCTGTGATGATTGAATTTCTCCAGTTGATGGCATTTAAAGACAATACAAAATAATCATGAACACCACCTGCACATCACAAGTGTTTATGTAGGTAATACAACTGCCACAAGTCCTACCAGTGAAAGTGTATAAAAGTAGTAAGAGAGTGTAAGAAATACACAAGTCTGCGCACTTCAGTACCTGAGGTAGTGTTGTGCTTCTTTTGGGATCTTACCTGGACTAAACCATCATGGATGTTGTGGTACTTATTTCTGTTTGCCTGGTTTGCTGTTATAAATCCTTCCCCTTCTATAATGAACATTAGATGCCACCATAAGACATTAATTTATTTTTAATTTTTGAAGTAATGATGCATACTGACCATGGAATGATTTTGAGGTTTCATTATCACTATTTTTTTTTTTTTTTTGTATGGTGTTTCCACTGCCAAAATACCACATCTGCTCCGCTGGGGAATAGTATGAAGCAGATCTCACACCTAAGTAATTGCCCACAATTTTCCACTAGGTAAGCTCAGGAAAGCAATATTTTCTGTTACTCAAAAGCTTTATTAATTCTCCAGTGCCTCCTGGAGGAGATGGGCTCTTACCTGGGCATAATCTTCCTATTTCTTCCCAAACTCCTTTTTTCTTTCCCTCACAGGCCTCCCCGTCTCCAGGGATGCCCCCTTTCCTCACACCACACTTTCCAGCAGGGGTCAAACTTAAACTTCATAAACGCACCTACCCCTCCAGGCCACGTGCAGCTGCTCTCGGCTCTGTTTGTTCCAGAGTATGGGCAGGCGTGTGTTGCTGAAACATTGTCAGTCTAAATTCATCCCCAAGGAGATCTGTGTTTTAACTCCGAATGGCTTTTCAAAGTCACAGAGGAAAAGATTTAAGGTGGATTTTAAGACATGAGAGAAACAACTACAGAAAGCGAAAAGCAGCTGTATCTAAAAGACTGTTTAGGGTCACTGGCACGCCTAAACTTAATAATCACAGTCAACTCTCTACTGAAAATCTCTCCATCAGAAGATGGTGTTCTGATCCTGAGTCACAGGCCATTATCAAAGAAGTTGATGCACTAATACAAAGGAAAACCAGATCGCTCCGTTGGTAAAAACAACAAGGGAAATGACTGTGGATGCAAACGTCACTGCCATAGAAGCAAAGCATCAGATTTTGGTTAACACAAGATATTTATTTCATGAAATATTCCATGGGATTTTTGTGCTCTGTTAATTTTGCAAGCACTAAAATATGTACAAGAAACTACTAGATTTAAGTCACAACGAAATATTTCAATTGCCTACATTCTAATAGTAAATAGTGTTTGCTTTTAGAAAACTATTAGAATATTTGCATATCTTAACAAAAGTAACAGTAAATGAAATTTAGGAAATGAAAACATTCCTGCACTCAGAGTCCAGGCTAAAAGAAGAACAGAATAAATATTTCAGAGATTACACATAATGTGTATGAAATCATTTGGTTTGTATTACTTTGTATGTCTGAATTATTTCACTATTTTTATGAGTTCCTCCACACTGTTGTGTCTAGTAATAGTTCATTCCTTTCCATTTCTCTACAGCAATATCATAAATGAACCCATCCAACATCATTTATCAAAGTGAAAATGATAATACAGTGATCATTTTGGTACAGGCCTGGGGTATGAACTCAGCTATTTTGCATATAAAATACAAGATGACATTTTGGGATAATAAGGTATCCCATTTTACTTATTCTTTAATATAACATACCTTCCTCAAAATGGTTAGTATGTATAAAAGTGTACAAAATACCCGAATAGATATTTCTCAAAAGAAGATATACAAACTGTCCAAAAATATATAAAGAAAATTTCAACATACTGATCATTAGGGAAATTAAAATCAAAATTGCTTTCCTCTGTATTCCTTACTGCTTTCACTTTCTTTCTTTCTCAGGACATTTTGATGTCCTCGTCAAGATTTCTAATGCTCAGTTTGTCCTCTAAAATAGGTTCTAATTCCACAAGCCCACTCCACTGTATGGTTATCACTGCTTAGATATAAAACTAAATGTCCCCTGTTAAAAGAATTCTTTTCTTCTCACCAGACAAGATTTAAATATTTTCCTTATACATAGTTACAGCACCCTGGATTTACTTCATATTATTTGATATTTTATTAGTCATTATTATTATGTTTAGGAATTTTATGTTTCTAACTTCCAATATGATGTTGGACTCACTGAGCTAGCGATCATTTCACCGTAAAGTACAATGACATGGAAGGACAAATGACACAAACTAAACACTCGGTAAATCTTAGAATAATAAAATCAATGCATAAAATCTACATGAAACAAATGACACTTCTGCACGTTCACGTGACAACTGCAAAGTTTCCCAAGGATAAAGATTACCATATTTTTGGAAGACATAATGATGTACAAAATATTTGGGGAAATATAAAAATTGTATGTTGGGGATAGTGAAATATTTATTACATTATGGTATCTGAACCAACAAAACAGTGTAGATACGTAAACAAATCACATTGAGGTCATATACATTGTGGGCATATAAATGTGTTGTTTACCTAAAAGAAGATTTTACTTCTCAGTTTTTTCACGGCGTCTTTCACGTCATTGTTCCGCAGGCTGTAAATCAGAGGGTTCAGCATGGGAATCACCAGGGTGTAAAACAGTGAGGTCACTTTGTCCTGATCGAGGGAGTAGGCAGAACTGGGGCGGAAGTACATGAAGAGCATGGTTCCCTGGAAGATGGCGACGGCAGTGAGGTGGGAGGCGCAGGTGGAGAAAGCCTTGAACCTCCCCTCGGCAGAGCGGATCTTTAAGACTGATACGATGATGTAGCAATAGGAGATCAGAACTCCTGAGATGGTGCCCAGCTCAATGAATCCAAAAATGGTGAACAACACCAGCTCATTGATTTGTACATCAGAACAAGATATCAGAAGAAGAGGAGGCAAATCGCAGAAGAAGTGGTTGATCACGTTAGAACCACAGAAACATAAGCGAAATGCCAATGACGTGTGTATGAAACCGTCCACCACTCCAAAGAGGTATATAGTAGCCACAAGTATGGAGCACACCCCACTGGACATGTCTACTGCATACAGCAAGGGGTTGCTGATGGCCTTGTACCGATCAAAGGCCATCACTGCCAGCAGCAGGCACTCAACGTCTATAAACATGCAGAAGAGGAAAAACTGCACAGCACAACCAAAAAAAGGAATGGATTTGTCGTTTGTGAGCAGGTCCACCAGCATCTTGGGGCCAATTGCAGTAGAATAGGAGAGGTCAGAGAACGACAGGTGGCTGAGAAAATAGTACATTGGTGTGTGAAGCTGGGAATCCACTCTGATCAAAGTGATCATACCAAGGTTTGCCAAGAGATTGATAAGATATACAGTTAAAAATGTGCCAAATAGGATTATTTTCATTTCAGGGTTATTGGTTATCCCCAAGAGGAAGAACCCAGCAACTGAAGAGCAGTTTCCTTTGTCCATTCTCCTTTGTTCTTATTCTAAACTGTAAGAAGCATCGAGAGAGATAAATTAGGATTTTATTTTCTAGATATCCAAAGTATATTAACTGTGAATCAGAACATAAATTCTTTCTGCAAATTTCCTTCTTTATTCTCAGAAAATAGCGGAGACAAGTGTCGATCTAAAGAAGCTGTATCATGGGAAAAAGAAACTAAAAATATCTACAAGTGAGAACTGGTAAACTTTGATTCTAAATTTACTTATGATTCCTGAGATGTAGAATAATTGGCTTTGCCTTTAGCATCCATTCTCAGGCACTGGATTTGAATTTAGTGAAAGCTAGTTCCAGATCCAAAATCATATGAAACAAACACGAGAGTCAGAAATGTGAGCCAGAGCTGGGTGTGGTGGCTCATGCCTGTAATCCTAGCACTTTGGAGGCTGAGGCAGGAGAATTGTTGCAAGTTCAAGGCCAGCCTGGGCTACAAAGTGAGTCCGAGGCCAGCCTGAACTGCATAGCAAGACCCTGTTTCAAAAAGACAAAAAAAAAAAAAAGACAAATATGAACCACAATGTAAAAACCTAAACATCTCCTATAGTATATAATATGATTGTATATATTACAATACTTAAGAAATTTACTAATTTTTACCAATAACAATCATACTGAATATAAGTTAGTACGTAAAAATTATTTTGTTCCTTGAGGTCCTTAGGTTTTACTGAAAAAAAAAATAGTTCAATAAAATAATTGAACTATTCTTATCATCATTATTTTGACAGAGGTTTTAGAATATTTTTTGTGTAACTGAGCTGGTTCTCAAGTCAAATCCTTTAAAATGCCGAAGGCAAATAATAGAAAGAACTGGAAACAACAGACTACAACAAATACTGATGCCTATTTTGGTTTTTCAGTTGACTTTTCATTAAAATTATAATGGAAGGAGAAACACTGAACTTCACCGTCATATACAACCTTCAGTTTTGGATGTTGATGAATTTCTGCATGTGTGTGTGTTTGGTGTGGTGTGTGAGTGTCTCGAACTATTGACACCTAAAGTAAGTGTGGGCATCTTTCTTCTAGATTAACAGTTGCAGCATGCAATCTATATGGACTTGGATTTACATATATTGGTATATATAATATGTTATCGTTATTATTCTTTCAATCAAATAAAAACAAACTTTATATTTATATGTACCAGATCTTGCACAAAGATTTTGAAAAGGAATTGTTTACTTACTGACAGTCTTAAGATCTTATTTAAATCTTGATTAAATATAAATGAGCAGAACTTTCATAGTCCTTACACAAATGACAAATGAAGTCAGTGAATTTCATGTAAGTGTAACAAGAAAATATCTTTGGTCATTAGCTTACAGAATGTGTTCAATTGAGTATGCAGGCATAAAATCATTCAATATTTTAAGTGATTGAACTCACTCAATTTTAATTCCACATTGTGAAAGGAAAGTTATGTTTTCTTTTTTCCTCTGTTGTTTCAATACAGTCATTCAGAAACCTACCTTATATGACAAAGGCATTCTGTACTCCTGTTGTTACCCGAACTCTGTGCAAATTATATTTATTTTCACCCAGTGCCTATTGGGAAATAAATCTAAGCCTCTGCCCGCTCTGATTTCTCATATTTTTCACACATGATTAATTGCATTCCTGGCTCGGTTTTCCCCCTGAGAATCCTGTAACAACTGCAGCAAAGGTTGAATTCCTCATTCTACCTGTGTCACCAAACTGATCAGTGTCAGAAACTGACCAGATCGAGACACACGCCCTCTGCTAGTGACACTAGACGTCTAGTGAAACCGAAAGGCAGCCTCTTCTGAATGACTTCTGTGGCCTTTGCTTTTCTCATCATGCTCCCTCCACTCCTAAAATCTACTCTTTCATAGTTCACTTGGAAGTGTGGTAATACAACATGATATTTTTATTAACCATTGTCTGAGTCCTCTCCCCCTACTCCATTCCAACCACACTAATTTCAATTCTTTTGCACTATATGCTATCCGTCACACCTGCTGTCCTCTCTGATAGGTTTTCTCTACATTCACCCAACTGCTAGAGCACAGATTTGCAAGGGCAATGGGGCAGCAAATATGTGTTGTTAAATATTTTCGGGTTGTTTGGGAGACATTTAGTGAGAAGAAAGTGACAACCTTTCATCTACATTTATGCTAATATTGTTCATATGCATAATGATAATAACTGTTGAAAATATATGTTGGTATAATGGTCTTTAGCAAAACCCAAATTCTATTTAGCTCTAAAACAAATTTTGTATACTATTAATGATATTTGGCAAGTACAAGAAATGTGAATATTCTATCTGTCCTAAACTTTGTTCTACAGCTACCTATATAATGTTCGCACTCCTTCAGTATTTTTCCTCCATGTCGGTCTGCAGCTTCCCTGGAAACCTACTTTGGGGCACAGAGATAAATCCCATATTTACATTTCCTGACCATAAAACTATCTCTATTCTCCCTTCTACCATTGTGTTTTTAAATAATCTTCCCTATGCAATGGACTTTTCTGAGGAAATATTATGAATTCCAACATAGGTCATTGTGCTTTTCTTATGATATTTAACTTTTCTCCACATATATTATTATTTATTTCAAACATTCCTATATGTCACTATCTCTCACAATCTCAACATATAGAGAGAACTGTGAGCTCTAGAAATAATCATCAAACTTCTGGGGTGCCATAGACATCCTGTTTGACTTCAAAGGACCTGTTCTCAAGAGATTTCTAACTAGTGTGTAATGAAGGAAAAGAATCATCCCTTGGTGAAGAGAAAATAGCTACGTTGGCTAGTGTCCTAAAATATTTAGTGCTATTTAAAATCCACAGAAATAAGAAGCCAGGCTTAGATATTTAGGAGAAGGAAGAGTTGCTCCAGGTCCCACCCCTACACCAAGGTAAGATTCCCCCAAAGATTGAGCATAGGAAGCAGCAACAGAAAAGGCTGCCAGACTGAGATGTATCTGCTCATTTATTTTAGCTAGAGCCATCAATGCTATCTTTGTCTGTAAAAGCCACAGATACGATGTGAAGAAGCACATGAGTGAGAAGTAAACGAGAACCTGATGCTATGCAGCACGGTAGCCTGGGCAGGGAAAACCTTTGCATCCGGCCATGTTCTGAGTGGTACTTTTAAAGTGAATCATTAGGGCTGGGGACTTAGCTCTGCGGCACAGCGCCTGCCCGGCAAGCACAAGGTTGTGAGTTTGATCCCCAGTACCAGAAAACAACAACAACAACAAAAAGAACAAAAAATAAACTAAATCATTGAAAGACTCAGATTTTCATGTGCTTTTTAAAGTCTGCTAATGACTGTAAAGCATGATATACCCCATTGTATTTTCTCTTAATTCAGTCAATTTATTTTTACTTCAAAACCAGTAAATGAAAACCTGAGTGTACAAAAATACTCTAACAGCTCATAAGCCTAAACTATGGGTACAGCCAAATAACCTGGGGAGCCCAGTATCTTCTCAAACTTCACCCAAGAGTACTCAAGGAGACTTTTTTTTTAAATTAATTTTATTGATACACTTTAGATATACATAATGATCACATTCATAGTAGGGAATTTGTCCCTGTACATGATATAGCTTAGTTATTTCACCCCCCCAGGACCCCCTCCTTCCTTCAACCCTCTTCCCCTCCTTATTTACAAAGCTTTGTTTCCATTTTATCCATTTTTTCTTCATTTCTTTGTTGTCCTTTTCATATCCCCCAACCCCCTTTCTTTTGGAACAATTATTTCCTATCTCACAATATCTATTATGCATTTGGGTTATTATTTACACTTTCAGTTTCTCACACCAGAGAAACAATGCAATAATTTACACATATGTGTCTGATTTATTTCACTTAAGAGAGTGGTCTCAAGGTCCATCTATTTAGCCATAAATGTCTCAAGTTTATCGTTCTTTATGGCTGAGTCACACTTCACTATGTTAAAAAGTATCTTTTTTATTCATTCATTGGTTGTTGGGCATTTTAGTTGTTTCTAAGATTTAGCTATTACAAACTGTGCTGCTATAAATATGGCTGGGCATATATTGCTGTGGTATGATGTTTTTAATTCTTTTGGGAAGATATCAAGAAGAGGAATAACTGGATCAAATGGATCTCTAATTTTTGAGTTTTTTTTGAGGAGTCTCCATACTGATTTCCACAATGGCTGCTCAAGTTTACACTCCCACCAACAGTGGGAAACACTTTTTCCCCCCCAGCTCCCCCAGCATTTGTTATTGGTTGATTTCTTGATGATAGTCATTGTTTCTGGAGAGAGGAGTAATCTCAGTGTTGTTTTAATTTGCATCTCTCAAACGACCAGTGATGCTGAACATTTTTCATGTATTTATTTACCATTTGTACTTCTTCATCAGAGAAGTGTGTATTCATTTCAACTCACATTTCCATAGTATTATTAGGTTTTCTTGTGTGTTTTTTTTTTTTGTTGTTGTTTTTTGAGACAAGATCTCACTATATTGTTCAGCCTGGCCTCGAACTCACTGTGTGGCCCAGGCTGGCCTCAAACTTGTGGCAGTCCTCCTACCTCAGACTCCCAAGTGCTGAAAGTACAGGTATATGCCACCACTTCCGGTTCAGTGGTAGTACTCAAACTACATTCTTTATATCCATATTCTAAGCACCTGGAATGAGAAAGTCTCAAAGGTGGCTTCATGCAAGCTCCCTTTTAATAACTGATCTTAGTACAGATTTACATGCATTTTTAAAGAAATTATAAAGGGAATCCTTTGTAAACTTGTCAGGTTTCTCACAATGCTAATATATTTCAAAACCCCCAAAAGTCACACGCAGATACTGTGCTTGAAACAATTCTCTCTTTTTATTCCAATTTCCAGGTTTTAACTCTACATGGGATATTTCAAGTATTACTCTTATACTTTTTTCTTCTAATGAGCCTGAAAAACATTGTGCTGTTCTCTAGGATAAGAATTAGAATGATAAACTCTAAATGTACATCATACATCATAATGCATTTTAATTATTTATTTACTCCTCCAAGGAGATACTCATTTCAATTACCCAAATAGCTTTTGCAAGCATAGTCCTAAGTGAATTCAAATTTCTCTGGGAAGAGAGACATCATATTATATGGGCATAATAAAAAGATAAGGTAAATGGTTAAATAAAAAAAAACTATACAGCAAAAGGGACATTCTTAAGAATGATGGGACAAAAGTACTTGAAGTGGAGGGGCAAGTTTGAGAGCTTGATTAGTGTCTTGTTCCTTTTAATGTGTTAAAGGTGTTTATTTTAACACTTAGCATAGTTTTGATTTCCTTGTTGATCAAACATTCGTGGAAATTTCTGTCAAGTAAAAATATCATCGTTTGCCCTCAGACACATTATTCTGGGACTTAGTATAGAGCGACTTCTGGTTCTTCCCCAAAGTCAAAACTGCCATGAAAGGTGAAAGTTTTGAAACCACTGGGGACACACAGGCAGCACGGGCACCACCCCTAATGACACACACGTAATAGCACTTCCGGAAGTGCTTCAGAAAGCGCCGGAAGTGAGGGGACATGTGCGTCTGAAGCATCAAGGAGTCTGCTTAGGCGAATTATTAAATCTGTGTCTTTCCAGTAATCATTTATTATAAACATTCATCTTATTTTTAATCATATCTTCTATACCATACTTCCTATTATACAAGATATTGTTGAGGCCAAAACTACTTGTAGTAATTTGTCAACTGTTAAAAGTGAAGATATTTTTGAATTTGTAGTACACAAGAGCTTGATTAACACTCACTGCTCCCGTGGTACCTATTTGAAGGAATGGGAATTATTTTGCATACAAACTTATTTTCCCATGAGACGATTCCTTGTCTCTAGGGATAAGAACTCTTTTCAGGTTACAATCTGTTTAGGCAGGAACTAAGTTTTACGCTAAAGCAGGTCTCTCCTTGTTCACCCTAAAGTTTTGCCATATATATGCCAGTAGCCATTGATGGACATGAAAGAAGAATTTGATATAGAAGGCTAAATTGGGAAAGAAATATTGAGGATGGAAACGGGTATTCTGAAGCAGTAAAGATTCTGATGTCATTTTCCACAGCACTGTGGAACTGCAAATTATTAGAATCAGGAACAATGTGCTCAAGGTATTCTAGTCATGAATTTCCTCAAAATAATTCTGGAGAATAACTTGTAGGTGTCATATATTGATGGTATCAGGATCATAATCAAATTATATTGCTACGCATGGACATGTTATATAAAATTTCAATTTTCCTTCTATTTTGTTATTACCTACTACACCTAAAAATAGGGATTAATATGAAGATCAAATAAATTTTCAAATGCTGTAATAAAACAAAATATATGATTGGAAAGTGAGTCCTTTTTATGGAGGACAGTTTTTATCCTCTAAAGTATTGCAAATCCACTGCCACACCATTTTTACTCTCCTCTAATTTAAATAACGCTTTTTGTCATGTTGAGTTTAGTACTAGACTATTGAGTTGTTGCCACAAAATAGCAAATTTTATTGACTTACGAACAAACACAAATTATATTCCACAGTTCTGGATTTGGGCACTTGTAGCATGGGTGTCTTGTGGGAGAGCATTTTGTGTTTCATGGACAACTCAATTTCTACAGTCCTGTCGTGGTAGGTAGAACCAAGAAGAGCTGCAAACCTGGTTCGTCGGGAAAGAACTTCGTACAAGATAAATTTGCCTTCCTGATCTATCACCCCCCAGAGGACACATCTACTAATAGCATCAATCTGGTGGTTAGGATCCCAAAACATAGTGAAACACCATATAGCTTACAACACAATGCAACATAATTTCACACAGCAATGCAATTTCAAAAGTACAGAGTTTAATGAAAAGACTTGGTACAGGTGTAAGCACATGTAGCCCTTCATCTCATTCAGGCATTCTTCACAGATTTTTTATTCACCAAGGTGCCTTCTCTTAGCTTGTCACTTTGCCCCCCATGCGACTTTCACTGCAGAGGTGACCCCTTCTATGCAGAAATGTCCTTACATGGGAACACAGCAGCGAGGAGCAAAAGCTGCCCTTCCTTGGTTTAGCTTCTGTAACAATAGTGGATAATCAGGGCTGTCTCTGTGCTTTCTGTGGGTTTTCAAATTTGGAGTCATTTCCTTATTTCTTTAGATGCTCGTTCATTGCTCCAGCTATTAGAAAATTAGGTAAAGATAAAAGGACATACATATACGATGCCTACTTAAGAATTATTATTCATTTCTTTGTATATTTATTACATTTCTATTCATCATTTCATATACCCTCTTAAAAGCTACAATGTTTTTATGTGTGTGTGTGTGTGCTTATGTATGCTTATTCCACACATACTATTCTTAGTTAATTTGTTTTAGCAATATCTAGCAAGGACTCAAGACTTAAATCTTCTCTGGCATTTTATTCTATCATTGTTTGTTTTGCAGACAGAACACAAATGCTTTGAATGACAGGGGTAGAGTACTTCGAGTTTGAGTAAAAGCAAGCATACAGTCCCTCACGGGGTCCGCTGGTACAGGGTCACATTAAATAATGCTTTTAGAAGGATATGAGTTGTGCACCACAGAGGAACATTCAACAGGGCTGAGAGTAGGGAGGAGGAGAAGGAAGGCTTCCAGGAGAAAGGAATTAAGGAGTTGATGGCTGACAGTTCCAACAAACAGGTATATACTACTACTGGCTTTTAAATTATTCTTTATATTTTCACACGATTGGACTTCATTGGTTTCCAAACATCATAGAACTACTTTATACACCTCCAGACTTCCCTAAATCTCAAACCCTCTGGGTTGGTTACTTTTCTCTTGTTGCTGAGACAATGACACTCAAATACATGACACTCAAAATTAAGGGAGGAAAGGTTTATTTAGCTCACAGTTTGTGGAGGTTTCGGTCCATAATCAGCTGGCTCCAAGTCAGGGTGGCACATGGCACAGGGGCAACAGTTCAAGGCAGTGGAAAACAGCAAAAGCAACACGTGCAAAAAGGGGGGGTATAGCAAGCCTCTTTTCCTCCCTTATATTGTAAGCAGGCTACCTGCTCTAGGATGGGTGTAGCACTCACACCATCTTTGTGCCCTCCTGTTGCACAGGATGAGGATGTTTACAATGTGAGGACGCTGGTTCCCTGCTGAGTCACTTAGTTAAGCTTCTAAACTTCTCAAGTTGACACATTGTATCAACCATTACAACCCTCCACTTAGGCTCCCTCACTCTCGGAAAGTAGCACTGTTTCTCTCTGAGAATGAATATGCCATCCAGTGAAGCCTTGTGCTGCCTTGTGGATTTAGACATTCTGCTATGGAACTGAGTTGTCTATCTCATGATTGTCTTGAGGTTATGTGAAGTATGTCAATTCTGTTACTGTTTGTTTTTTCACTACACATAACATTCCCTAATGACTAAACTAGATTTCCCTCAAATACAAAGCACATAAATGTTTTAAAAAACCATTAGTAAAATACTCCTTAATTGCATGATAATTAAAATGAAATCAAGAAATGAACACACAAAATGATGGTATCATTCAAAATGGCAGGAACATTTCTATACAGAAGGAATAGCACATAATTTAAGACAATGAAGGCAAACACATTTGGATACATTTTATTAGTACATTTTAGTACAAACACTTATTGTAGAAAATTAAAATATGTCACACAACTTATTTATTTACTGTTATGCAATACACTTCTATAGAAAATAGAACTGCTGTAAATATCTGGGTAACATGCATAATAGTTTTTTAAAAATACCTTCTCTTTTTCACCTTTTCAAGGGCCTCTTTAACATCTTTATTCCTTAGGCTGTAAATCAGAGGGTTCAGCATAGGAATCACCAGGGTGTAGAAAAGTGAGGTCATTTTGTCCTGATCTAAAGAGTAGGAAGAACTTGGCTGAAAATACATGAAGAGCAGCGTTCCCTGGAAGATGGCAACGGCAGTGAGGTGGGAGGCGCAGGTGGAGAAAGCCTTGAATCTTCCCTCAGCAGAGCGGATCTTTAAGATGGATAAGATGATGTAGCAGTAGGAGACCAGTACTCCTATAATGGTGCTCATCTCAATGAAACCAAAAATGATAAATATCACTAACTCATTGACCTGTGTGTCTGAGCAAGATAGTAGAAGGAGAGGAGGGACATCGCAGAAGAAATGATTAATCTCATTGGACCCGCAGAAACACAAGCGGAAGGCGAATACTGTATTTATCAAAGCATCTGCCATCCCCACCAGGTAAACCCCAGCCATGAGCAGGGAGCACAGCCTGCTGGACATGTGAGCTGAGTACAGCAAGGGGTTGCTGATGGCCTGGTACCGGTCCAGGGCCATTACTGCCAGCAGCATGCACTCGGAATCTACAAACATACATAAGGTGAAGAACTGCAGAGCACAGCCAGCAGTGGAAATGGATTTCCTCTGAGCTAAGAGGTCCACCAGCATCTTGGGGCCAATTGCAGTGGAATAGCAGAGGTCACAGAAAGACAGGTGGCTGAGGAAAAAGTACATGGGCGTGTGGAGATGGGAATCAATTCTAATTAAAATGATCATTCCAAGGTTCGCCAGAAAATCAATGAGGTAAACAAGTAGGAACGTGGTGAAAAGGGTCACTTTGAGATCAGTGTTACTAGTGATTCCTGATAAAATGAATTCACTCAAGGAGGAGCAATTTCTCCCATCCATTCTTCTTTTTTCTTGTGTAATCTTGAAAATAAATTTCCAAAGTTAAATAGATACATAATGAATTTTTTCGTAGAACCACAAATTATCAGCAACACAGATCACTTTTTGTACTTGTAATTTTCTTCTTTACCTATAGAAAATTATTCTGTTAAGGGCCACTATATAAAACACATTGCATCTTTTTTTTTTTTTTTTTTTTTTTTTTTTTTTT